ATGTATCATTAGCAAATATGTTCTCCCATTTAGTGGGCTGTCTTTTCATCTTGCTTATGGTTACCTTTGCTGTACAAAATCTTTCTAGTTTGATGTAGTCCAATTTTTTTATATTTTTATTTATTGATTTGAGAGAGAGAAACATTGATTTGTTGTTCCACTTATTTATGCATTCATTGGTTGATTCTTTTATGTGCCTGACCAGGAGATTAAACCTGCAGCCTTGGCATATCAGGACAACGCTCTAACCAACTGAGCTACCCAGCCAGGCCATTTGTTTATTATTTTTCATATGATTTCTCTTATATGTTTCATCTAATGTACAGAATAAACTAACAAACAAAATAGAAACAGACTTATAAATACAGAAAACAGACTGAAAGCTGTCAGCAGAGAGTGGGGTGAGGGGCTGGGTGAAAACAGTGAAGGGATGAAGCAAAAAAAAAAAAAGGATACTTAATAGGCAGATAATAGTATGGTGATTACCAGAGGGATAGGGGTTGGGGAGGTAGGAGAGGGCAAAGAGGGGGTAAATAGTGATGGAGGGAGACTTGACTTGGGATGGTGAACACACAATACATTATATAGATGATGTACCTCTGAAACCTATATAATTTTATTAACTAGTGTCACCCCAGTACATTCAATTTTAAAAGTTTTTAATTGACATTTCTGCTCTTTTGACCTACAAAAATGACAATTTCATATTGTTTAAAGTAATATGTATGCCTGGACTACATCTCCAAAAGTTCTGGTTCAGTAGAGCTATAGAGTATTTGTTTAGAAGCTCCATGGTGATTCCATGGCTTTTTGAGAACTACTAAACTGACCATTTCTCAACTCCCTCTAAAAGCCTGTTTTCTAATTTACTCTTTGCAATAAATGCATGTTAGTTTGCTGCCACTAGGTGGGAGTAATGTGCCACCGTCACACCAAGGAGCTGTGTTACCTTGAAATTCATCATGGTGGCTCTCTGCTCAAGCTCAATATGTTTATAATGGAACATCTCCATGTATTTTGACATCTGTAAAGAATGAACTTTTAAGAAAAGGCTAATGAAATAATTCATTAGCTCATCTTTTAGAAATAAAACTCCAAAATCATGTGCTTAATATCTTTCCCAACTAACTCACAGCTTCAGCACTTTTTCTGTTCTTTCTACATACTTCCTCCATTCCACCCAAAACTCCATGCACTGGCTTGTATTGTCCCTGTTCTCTGTGTGGCCTCAAACTCCCCAACCCCTAGAACTAATGTCTCAGCTCACTCATTTCTCAGTGAAACCCTCTCCAGAATTGCCCCCCAATCAGTCAAGATCCTGCTTCTACATTTATGAGCATACATCTACGTTTAGGTAGAAAGATACCTACCATCTTTCCACCCTTCTCACTCTTCTAATCTTTCTCCCTCTTACATGTTCATTAGCTTTACATATTTTATTAGTTTAACTTCTTAAATCCTTAAACCTCTGAGAAACCCCAAAGAATGCTGAAAAGAAGAGTTGAAGTTGGGGGAAAAAGAAGGAAGACCAAGTCCTCATTCTGTCTGACATGCAAAGTTGGGTATTTATCTGTGTCACAGAGGTTAACCTTTTTCCTCTCTCCTTTCAGGGCTCATACTTTATAATCCCACTTGACCCTTCCTATCTAGTATTTTATAGCTCTCCTTGTGACCATGACTGTTGACTTAGTCCAAAAGAAAGATCTCTTCTCTAGTTCTTAGTTCTGCTACTCTAGGCACTTGCTCAACTGGCTTAGTGAACAATAAATGGTGCTGTGAAGAGCAGGGTGTCTATTTGCTCACTTGCTGTCCCTAGCCCCTCCTCCTCCTCCTCCTCCTCCTCCTCCTCCTCCTCCTTCTTCATCATGCCCTCTCAGAGTTGCCTTATAGCAGAGCAAACTGGTGGTTATATATGGCTTCTGTGCTAACATTCTGGAACTTTATTAGTGGTGGTCGATGTTAACTTGAGTTTAATACATGAAAACGAAAAAGTAGCATCCGTTTTGTTAATGACTCAGTCATTATTCAAGAGCTGTATCTAATTCTAGGTTTCAGGTTTTTGAAGAAAGCAGAGAAATTGGATATGATCCTGAGAAGAAATACTAAAGGTAGAAAAGACCCTAGAAAGAAAGGTGGCAGATGCTATGATTTGGTGTACAGACTAAATATTGATTGTTAGCTTGGCAACCCACAACTACTGCTTCCATTTGAAGAAAACAAAGAGATCACTTAGACATTCTCCATATTTAGTGATCATAGAATAAAATGGATCATAGAATAAAATGGAACATTGCCAAGCAAGCAAAATTCAGCCTCAACTAAAGGAAAAGCAAATAATTCCTGACCCTAGACATTTGCAGTGATAGATTCAGACACAGAGGGTCTGCATGGTGGTACAATCTCCAAAAAAAATACCTTTTAGCTTTGACAGGGATTGCGTCTCAAACTAAACTGAATACCTAGACAGCTGGCCTCTTGGTTTCTCTTTCTAAGGATTATCTGCTTCTGTTACCATTTATATTTTCTTGAATTCTCACCATTAAGCCCCAAAGAAAGCTTTCCTTCTTCTCACTTCCTCTTCACAGAGGAAATAAAAAACAACCCACAGCTTTAGATATTTTGAGAAAAGAGAAATTGCTTCACAGAAGAGGCCAGACTTGATATAAGGAAGGTTTAAAGTACAACAGAGAGACAAGCCTTGCCCACGTTGAGGTTAGTGAGCAGCTTGGCAGAGAGGAGATGAGCTGTCAGCACCCTGCTCCCTCCCTCTCATCCCAAGTTGGCTTCCAAAAGGAAGGAATTGAGTTCATATCACCATATCCATTGACTTAAGCCACATAGTCCCCCAGCCATCACAAAAGGAAGCAGGTGTACTAGACTATTTTTCCCGAGTGCCTCACATACCTTCCACCTGCACATTATAGAAAAATCTGAAAGCACAGATAAGCAGAAAGAAAATGAAAACCACCTGTGGCCTCACCAACCGGTGCCAAATCTTTTCATTTGGGGGCATAATTTTCCAGTTTCTTCTATGTTAAATATATGGATTCTTTTTAAAAAAATTGGATTATATTGTCTTTAATCTTTAGCTGTTCTTTTAAATTTAGCAGTATATTTTAATACCTTTTTGTGTCGATAATTATATTTCTGAAATTCCATTTTTAATGGCTGCTGAATGTGTGGATATCCAATATGATTCTTCCAATTCATTAATGTTGGACATTTAGCATCCTTATAAATTTTTTATATTACAGATAGTGCTGTGATGGACATCCTTGCAGATAAATATTTGTACTGTTCTTAACATCCTTTTAGAATATACTTCCTAGCCCTAACTGGTTTGGTTCAGTGGATACAGCATCGGCCTGAGGACTAAGGGTCCCAGGTTCGATTCTGGTCAAGGGCATCCCTAGCCCTAACTGGTTTGATTCCGTGGATACAGCATCGGCCTGCAGACTGAAGAGTCCCAGGTTCGATTCTTAAAAAGAATATACTCCCTAGCCCTAACTGGTTTGATTCCGTGGATACAGCATCGGCCTGAGGACTAAGGGTCCCAGGTTCGATTCTGGTCAAGGGCATGTACCTTGATTGCAGGAGGCAGCTGATCGATGTTTCTAACTCTCTATCCCTCTCCCTTCCTCTCTGTAAAAAAAATCAACAAAATACATATTTTTAAAAAAAGAATATACTCCCTAAAAAAGCAATTATTGGTTCAAGAGAGAGGTCATTTTTAAGGATTTTGATACAACTGCTAAGTTGCCATCCAGAAAAATCTTTAGGTGAGAGAGTATATCCTTTCCAACCTGCCCACCACTCTGCCAGTTCTTCAGGATTTATCTCTCCCCTCCAGTGGCACTAACCCCACTAGTGTCCCCTTGGTTGGCATCATCTATCTTAACCTTTAAAGATCTGAGGATGATAATACTCTTGTACACTTCATGGCTCTGCTTCATAGAATTAACTCCGGTTCCTGCTCTTTCTTCAGAGCACTTCAAACCCACTGAGAGATAACTCAACAATAAAAAGATAACCCCAAACCACCCATATCATTGGATATTAAGAACTGTGCTTCTAAATAACATATGGATTAAAGAACTCTATTTAAAATTAAGGCATGTTTTCAATGGAATGATAATGAAAATACTACATGGCAAAACTTGTGGGTTGCTACTAAAACATAACTAAAAGGAAACCTTGTAGCTTTTAAGAATAAATACTGAAAATTAATGAGCTATTAAGGATCCAACTCAAGAACTTAGCAAAAATTAGTGAGTGAATGAATGAAATCCTTGAAGTCAGCAGTTCCCTACGTGTTTTTGTTCACCCTCTCATCTCCAACACAGTGCTTAACAAATAAGTGGAACTTGATGAACATCAGATTGGATTTGTTAAATCGTAAAGGTCATGTGGTATTTTCAAATTGTCAGGGTTGAGTATTCCCAATCTGATTGATCTGCCAAAATAATTCGTCCAAGCATCTTTAACTTCTTGGGCCAGTAGATTCTGACTTGGGGAATGCAAGACACCTAAAGCATGGTGAATTTTAGTGGGTTAGTAGAGATTACCAACCTGCAGGAGGATTGCAGCTTCCCTGGGTTACAGTAAGGATGCATTTTTCCCTGTCTCTGGACATCCAGAGAAGTGTTTTGTGTTTACTCTACTAAAATATATATAGGAGATAAAGGTTAAATAAAAGTGTCTGTGCTGTTACCTCAACACATTGCTTTGGCCATCAGAAGCCAGGAACAGGGCCTGGCAACCGTCTGCTGGAGTTCAAGAAAGTTTTGCCTATGTAAGGGATGGAGGATTGGACTCCGGGGATCAATTTTACTCAAGGAAAAAGAAGTGACTTTAATTTCATTAATGGCCTCCTGGATGATTCCGCTACAAGTTTAATTCTCATGAAATATTAATGCCGCTCAGTTCTTAGTATACTGCCTTTAGTATCATACAGCTCAAACTGACACTAACCTGTTTTATATTTTATAACCGAATCACAGGGCTTTTTCAGGAGAAGTCAGCAAAGCAATGCCACCTACTCCTGTCCTCGTCAGAAGAACTGTTTGATTGATCGAACCAGTAGAAACCGCTGCCAACACTGTCGATTACAGAAATGCCTTGCTGTAGGGATGTCTCGAGATGGTGAGCACTCAGCTTGAATTGTAGGGTGGTGACATGGGGTTATGAAATTGCCTTCCAAAACCCGGGCCCAGATCTGCCAAAATATGCCCTCCCACCCCTGGCGGTTTTGTGGGTTTCACGGCAGTTATTTCCTCTTCCATAATCCATCCGAGTCAGCTGGCTGGCTGATGGCATGGTGCTTGGAAAGTGTGGTCAGAACACCTTCGGATTTTTTCATGTTTAAGATATTACAGGTGGATGAATTGATCAAAGGTTATTGTCATCTGAGGGCCTTAATAAATATACCTCCTACAGGCATTTTCCCCAGAAGGAAACACACAGGTGAGAGCTAATTGTTACATGCTTTACACTAGTGAATTTATTGGATTGAATTGGCTTTTATGCTAACTGCATATTTTGAATCACATGCCAAAGTCAAATATTTGTACATGCAGAATGTGTGAAAATAGTGCAAAATGTGGCTCGATGACAAATGTTCTTTTCATTAAAAGAAGCTATTTTAAGAAATAGAGACCATCTACCACTCAGTTGCAGAACATTTCAAGATCTTCCTGGAAAACTATCTTAAGTGCACTGAATAATCAACACCAGATTTCAAGGCAGTTATTCTTATATAAGGAAACTGGGCAGAAAGTACAGCGGGTACATTTTTCAGGACTTTTCCGAGTATACTGGCTGGCTCTCTTAAGAGATCCCTTTGAAGGAAACATCTCTTCCAGCCTGTGGAAAAGTACTTCAGGATGCTGGGCAGGCCTTCTGAAAGCCTGTCTTCCCATAGTCAGATGTTCTTGGGGTCTGTGGACCTGCCCAGGCACAAGTGGTGATAACCTCCCATAGAGGGGCACAGGGTGGTCTCTTAGAATATATAAAAACAAAAACGAAGTTGTTGCCATCAGAATATGCAAGTCCCAGAACTTAAACCGTATTCTCAGAAACTCCTGTGGTATGCAGCTCTGCAGATTTCATCCTCAAAGTTGGGCTCATCTTTTAGGAACTTGTAAGTTAAAATCACAAGCTGTGTGTGCATTTTCTCAATAGCTGATCTTTTCATTTCACCTACAGGATGGTGTGATTACTGTTGTTAATATCCAGGCAGACGTTAAAACACCATTCAGAGTACACTGAACAAGTTTCACCTATGGTATTAATCCCCTTGGGTGTTCTAGAACACAGATTCTTCCACACAGAAATACTAGTAAAATGCCTTCAGTATGCCTCCCGGAGGTTTTGTATAGAAGTGAGAGTGCACGTTGTTGTGGGCTTAGAGTGAATTTGAGTGAGAGCTTATGCAAATTTAGGTCTGACATTCAGAGCCCACATCAGCCTACATGCTATCTAACCAGCCCCACCCAAGTTCGTTCCTTCAGTCCTAGAACCCAGAAATTGACCAGTATCAAGCTCACTCGTTCCCTCTCTGCAAAAGGACAGTGAGTGTTCTCCTTGGTGGAAAAAGAATCCAACAGATGGTGGCCCTGGTTCCCAACTTCATATCCATTTATCCTGCCTCTTTCCCATAGACTCACCGAATTATGATGATGGTTAAGTAGTTGAATTCACCCACCCCATCAGGTATCAATTTAACCACAATTAGGACATTTTAACCCCTCTAGCAGAGGCTTAATCCACATAGGCAGGGTTGAGCTGAAAAATAAATGGGTTAGTGGGAGAGCTCAGACCAGGAAATCGTAGGGTGTTTCCCTCAGATATATCGGTGTTTCAGGAGAAATCATTTGGGATTCCGAATGAACTGGAGAGTTATTACAATCTTTGCTCCACTTTAAATACGGAACCTCCCAAGTGGAAGTGTCGAGAACACAAATTTGTCTCACGGGGAGGGATCTTACACAGGGTTTGCCCTTTCCAGAATTCTGATACTCTTTTTACTTGAGGCAAAATAAGAACAGTAGAAAGTGTCATTTAAATGTGGGTCCAAGCATTTCACAAGGGCCACCATGACCCAGTGTAGGGGAGGGGCTTCTTCGGTAGACTCAGAGATGTGATTCAGGGAATCGCAAAGGCCTCCTCCAGTCTGTTTAGGTCTCTCAGTGAAGCTGCAGGTTCAGCTGTTTGATCGGGAAGGAACTCATTTGAGTGTTCAGAATAGTGGAATGAATGAAAATGGAGGTATGACTGCTTGTGCCTCGATGTACCTCTGAGTCTGTACATTAATCTGAACACCATGAAGAGAGAGAGGTGGTCCAGCCCAGCCACATGAGTGGGGAGTGAACAAACCTGCTCAGTCACATACCAGTGGCTCCCACTGAGCATAGGGTCTTATGACAGCAGGAAACCATGGGTGGTCATTGCCCCAGGTCTCTCCTACCTACTCGTCCTTCATTCCTCTGAGATGTGTCTTTGCTGTTGTGGGTGTGGGGTGGAACTGTTTGGATCACATCCTTATTTTGTGGTTATGTGGGTTTTGATTGAGATTGTCTGAGACTTCAAAGGAACCCCTAAAGCATGCCGGAGATGAGAGTGAAGAAAAGCACATTGTATATGGTGTGGTTTGGCTTGTGTCTTCCAGCTGTAAAATTTGGCCGAATGTCGAAGAAGCAGAGAGACAGCTTATACGCAGAAGTGCAGAAACACCGGATGCAGCAGCAGCAGCGAGACCACCAGCAGCAGCCCGGAGAGGCCGAGCCGCTGACTCCAACCTACAACATCTCGGCCAACGGGCTGACGGAACTACACGACGACCTCAGCAACTACATCGACGGGCACACCCCTGAGGGGAGCAAGGCAGACTCTGCCGTCAGCAGCTTCTACCTGGACATACAGCCTTCCCCAGACCAGTCAGGTCTTGATATCAATGGAATCAAACCAGAACCAATATGTGACTACACACCAGCATCAGGCTTCTTTCCCTACTGTTCCTTCACCAATGGAGAGACTTCTCCAACGGTGTCCATGGCAGAACTAGGTAATGGCTTCCATGTTTCTATTGGGATGTGCTATTTATGCCCTATAAAGTAAATAGGATATGCCTGGCTTTCCTCTAATGAGTTATGATGTTATTAAAATGATGGAGCTAGAAGGGAAATAGACCTTTACCCTTTGGACCACTTCATAATCTCACCTGCCCCCTTGCTTTTGACTGTCCACTGTTTCATTGTATATGCAAGGGAAACCTTGACCTCTCAGCTTCAGAGATGGGTCGACATGAACTTAAAGCAGTCTTAAAATGCCACAGAAAACTGGTAAGTTCAGGGAAGGGCCCCATTAACTTCATTAGTTATTTACTTACTTATATTCCAGGTATTGCTTTGTACCTGAAGTCATAAAAATGGCAGTCCACAAACTGAATCTGGCCCATAATATATTTTTGGATTAGTACAGTTTTAAATTTTTGAATCAGTTGCCAAAATTTAAAAACTGGTCCACATAAAAATTCAGATAGTCAGCTTCTTATGGGAGGGAACAAATAATCGAGGTATAAGGGACCAGCAACCATTAAGTGGCATCAGTTAGGGGCTAACACCTTTAGGTGGGCCCGCCCCACTTCCCCCATCTGTGTGATTGCCCATGCCTGCAAGTGTTGCAATCCTGGTGTATGCTATAAATATTAAAGGGAAATGGGCTTCTTTATTTGCCAGAATGTTTTGATGATGGATATTGGTGACAAAACTGATGTTTTTCATAGAAGACTCACCATACCAAAAAAAAAAAAACAACAACAACAACCAAAAAAACACACAACAACAACAAAAAAAGAAAGAAAGAAAAATATCCTGTCAATTTCTTATTCCTGTGACATTTTTGCTTCTTGGGTGATGTGACCTAGAAATGTTAATAACACAGACAATGAAAAACTTTCCATTTCAAGGAGGCTGTGTTAGCATCCTCTGATATATTTAATCGATTTTTAAGGACAGCACTGTTGTCAGAGGAACTTTGATAAGAACCTTTGCGGTTTTAGAATTTGATCTGTCCCTCCCTATGACTCCTCACACAAGGTTATAATCCTTTGGGATATTTCAATTAGTTGCTGTGGCGATGGCTCAGTTAATACGCGGAGAGAATAAAGACTTCAGATGGAAAGGCACGGGCGGGTGCTGACTTGAGCACCAAAATCCTCAGTTCACAGGAAAAGCGGTTGTGCTCTTTAGATGGTTTCTCCACCTCTGTACCCCATAAAACATTTCTAAGTGAAATTTATATTTCCAGTAAAATATCTCTCCAAATAGAACAAATTGAATGTTCTTTACGGTTTTTGCACAAGCGCCTCTTTATGGGTCTAAATTTAAATCCTCAAGAGCAGGGCCATTTTAAGCCTGGTCTGTAACCACTGAGCAGCGTTAAAGGTGGATCGCAGCTCTTTTGATTAACAGAGAAACCTCTGAACTAGAAGCCAAGCTGAGCAGAGGTAGGTTTGATTTTATTTTTCTTGAACTAGAACAAAAACCTTACATTTTTGTCATGAAATCTTGGTTGGCTGAGCCTTAAGCAGAACGGTAATGAAAGTAAAATTTTCAGAAATGAATAAGGATTTGATTGAAAGCTGACATGATATCATGAAAAATGACCTGGCTCACTTTACCTTGGGTCTGCTTCCACCTTCCCATAAATACTAGTGAGTCTATCCAGTTTGCTTATCAAATGTTCAACCGTGAAATAAATCCACAGGACTTAGCAGAAGTGTTTCCCGCGAAGGTGGCACTTAGGCTAAATGTGTACTCGTTAGTACCTGAGTGGGGCCAGAAATGCTAAGCAGATTCCCCCAGCTTCCTCTTCCCCCACAAACCAGTTTCCTCTCCCACTCGTGTCATCTCCCAGTGTAGTCTGGGAGCTCGATGCCCTCATACATTCTCCAGGTTCTCCTAAATGAGGGAGTTTTTACATGTGTTGTGGCATTTTCCAGGATGAATAAACTTGACTTGTCATTAAGTCCAACACCCAAAACTTAAACAAGAATTTATCTGAAAAGGATATTTTCTATCCCACTTACTTGTACAAAATAGTTTGAAGAGTTAAGAGTAACCTAGAAGTGACCAAAGACTTTGCTGTTCCTTCTTCACAGCTGTATTTCCTTTTGGGCTTAAGTCCTGCTATCTCGTTAACTAAGACTCTTGACTCCATTTTAGGCTAAATTTTGTCATCAGATTTTAAACAAATGAAAACATTATTCAATTGGAAAATAAATTATAAATTAACATATTGGAAGCCCAATTCTTTCAATAATAGTATCCACAATCCATTACTTTTAATGGGAATATGTCTGCATTCATGGCCAGGAAGTGCTGCCCTTGATGTATAATTAGTACCTGAATTACATACTCTAGATAAGCCATCTAGGTTCATTAAAAAAAAAACTAACTGCAATTGTACTGTAATAAAAATACTAAAGCCCATGCAAGAGAGACAGTGACATGCTGGGCAAAGCGTGAGACAAGAAGTCAGCTTATATGGGTTGTGGTCCTGGCTTTGCGAAAGGTTCTACAACCCAGTATAAATCATGTAAACTCTGCAAGCTATAGTCTCTCTACCTATTGAGTATAAAGACTCTGGAGCCAAACTGTGTGTGTTTAAATTTGGCCACTTGCCACCTATGACACCTCTATAAAATGGAGATAATACTAGTACCTTCCTCCTAGGGTTGTTACAAAGATTAAATAATAAAAAGAAAAGAAAAAAAAATATATATATATATATTTTCTGAATATATATTATAAGGGTGGCACATAGTAAGTGCTACATAAGTGTTAGTTATCATCACTATTAATATTGTTATTATCTGTAAACTGAAGAGAGTTTGGACCAGATGATGTCTAACGTTCCTTCCCACTGAGAAAATCTGTGACTAACTCAGAAGTCAGGATTTTCCATCTGAAGTATCTAGACCTTGGCCCTATTGATGAAGCTATCCTGATTGAGGAAGTGAGCTGATTTGCCCATCAGAGCGTGAGTTATCCTCTGAACTCAGACCAGAAACCAGGTCTCCTAACTCCTAGTTCCAAGTGTTTCACTAGTCCAGGCTGTTTTGCTGAGAGACCACACTAACTTGTTGACTTTTACTCAGTCTGACACGTTCTCCTTCGCTGAAGTGGAGATTTAAAAACAGCAAAGTGTCTAAGATCTTACACTTGCCAAATCCACTCGTGAATCGGGAGTCAAAGGCAGTTGGTGAGCAGTTAGCAAGAAAGCAGCCACTGCCCTCTACTGGTTAGTCACATACATTGTATCATTCACTTCCACTACGGAAAGCTGGACCCAAACAGGTAGGGGTGAGTGGGAACGATTTTTAGGATGAAGTGAAATAACAACATACTGACCATATTAACTGGGGGAAAAGCATGATCTAGAAGAGAACACTATGATCTTCTTCGCTCCCTTTTCCTCACAGGATCCCCGTTTCTCTGTGAACTATTCATCATTTTTTTCATATCTGCAAAACTTGGTTTACATTCTGGAATCTGTCTTCTATAGTGACGCTCTTTCTATAGGCTATAGTTCACAGACTTATTTACGCACTGCTTGTTTCTGACTTCCCATTATTTTTGTCTTTATTCTCCTCTTCACAAACGTCATTAATTCTAAGACAGATGATTTACTGGTTTCTCCCTCTTCCTCTCAGCTTCTCTGTGTCTTTCCTTTAAATTCTTTTCTTTTGTTCCTGTTCTATTTTTATGATATTGATTTGTATTGTTTTGTTGCTGTGTGTTGTGAATAGGGCCATTAAGATTTATTGTTCCAGTGTCTCTAAAGCAAGCATGTTAAACTCAAAGGCTAACTCGGGCCAAATAAACAAGGTTTAAGTTTATGTGGGCCGCAAAAAAACAAAAGCTTCAATTTTCACAGAAACATAGGTTTATTTTGATAGAGTCACGCTGAATACAAAGGGCTGAAATAAATGAGTAATCGTTAACATAAAATAATAAAACATTTTCTTAAAAACTAATATTTTTTCTTGAACATTAACTTACCAGATACTAAATAACTGCACAAATTAATAAGCGTAATGCAAATAAACCTATTTTTCTTGTTCTCCTAAAGTGAAATATTTCCAGTTGCACACACCAAACAAGTCAGTCCAAGACAAGGCAATCAGCCCTAAAATATTTGCTGCTAGTATTAGTGGAGAGAAATGGTATGCCTGTACGCAAGGCACGTAAGGGAAATGAATGCAACCCGATTATAGTAGTCATTAGCAAACGTTGTAGTTCATTATTAATAATTATGTATAACAGGATATTATAAAAATTAAATTATGAAATTTTTATTAAAATGTTTCTGACATACCATTATATTGGCTAGGCTGCAAAAATATTTGTTGTGGGCCGCTTGCAGCCCTCCGGCCATGAGTGTGACATGCTTGCTCTAATTTCAGGCTTCCTGGAGGTGAGCTTGCTCTATTTTCATGCAAACAAATCTGATTCTGTTTTGACAAAAAGCAGCAACAAATTCCCAGATAAATAAATAGTCTTACTACTGTTACCTAGTTTACATTGAACACCATTCTTTTAAATGGCGTTCCTATTTAATATTCAAGGCCCTGAGAGGGGGATTCCTTTTTGGTATGGTTTCATATTCACAGAATCTTATCAATTTTTCCTTTAAAACTTTTCACTATCCTTCCCTTCCATAACAGTGATTGCCAGCCTGCTTCCAGCTCTTAGTCCCTCACCTCTAGTTCCAGCAGCCTTCTATGTGGTCCTGCTGCCCCCATCTTCTCCGTCCTCCAATCCAATCACGGAACGGCTGGTTCTGTTTCCCCAGGTGCAGTGTTCAGTACCTCCGCTCCTGGAGAATCCTGTGGACTCCTTTTGTTTTATCAAGTCCAGACTCAATCCTAACACTCAAGATCCTTCAGGATTTGGACTCTTACCTTCTCATATTTCTATTTTGATTCTATCACTTTATCACATCTTCCTGTCCTATAATGCTATGTTGGTTCCTTCATCGGCCCTCCCTCGAATGTAGAACTGGCCTACCCCTCACACCACTGGCCTCCACCTACCAAATCCGACCCATCCTTCAGGCTCCAATTCAAATGCCCCTCTTCTGCTGCCGAGAAGCACCCACTAATTTCCCTAAGGCAAACATTCACCTCTCCCTTCCCTGACAGCATCTATTATCATTTTTTCTTTCTCTTCTGATATGATTCAACTTTACACTTTTTTAAAAATAATTTTTTACTAGAGGCCCAGTGCACGAATTCATGCACAGTTGGGGTCTGTCTCACCCGCACTAATCCAGCAGGCTCGCCAGGGGGAGGGGGTGTGGGAAATTGGCCTGCTGGTCCCACCCCCTAGTCAAACTCCTGGTCGAGCAGATAATTTGCATATTAGCCTTTTATTATATAGGATTGATGTCAGAGAGAGGAAGGGAGAGAGAAACATCAATGATGAGAATTATTGATTGGCTGCCTCCTGCATGCCCCCAACAACCTAGGCATGTGCTCTGACTGGGAATCGAATCATGACCTCCTGGTTCCTGGGTCAATGCTCAACCACTGAGCCACACAGGCTGGGCTCAACTTTATCCTTTATTGTCTCATGCCTTGAATTGTCCTTTCAGCATGTCCATACATGCTCACCACATTATAAATTCCTAGAGAAGCTTTTTTGGCATCTATTTCTTATAATATCTTCCAAGTCCCTATATTCTAGTACAATAAGAACTAATGTTAGCTAGCACTCACTTTGTAACTCTCCCTAAATGCTCAACTCATTTAATTCTCACAGAAGCCCTATGGAATAGATACTACCTTCCTTGTTTTACAATTAAGAAACCAAAACACAGAGAGGTTAAGTAACTTACCCAAGATCACACAGCTAGTAAGTAGCAGGGCTGAGGTTCAAACTCAGTCATTTTGGTTCCAGAGTCTATTCTTAACCACTGAACTATGTATAGTGACATAGTAGGCCCTCAGTAATGCTTGTTCTGCTATCTGCAGGAAAACACTAAAGAAATGCATTGCTGTTGTCATAAAAGAGTACCACTTACTAATTTTTCAAGAGTAAAACTTAGGTCAGTGTATATGGCAGGTGTGTCCTTATAAAAATGCCAAGAAGAGGCTGTGCCCATCATTTCCCATGCCTATCTAGATCAATATTTGTTCATTCCAAGACATTGGTGGAAAGGCATGGAAGAAGGTCAAGGTCAGGAGTGTCTTTGAAGTCACCAAGGTTTATTGCTAACTGTTGGCTTTGCCTGTCTTTCATGCTCATGTTCCAAAAAACAGAATAGTTCCAAATTGCTTATTTAAGTGCATAAAGATCATAAAACTGGATCCGCATGATGCTTTCTACTTGTTACTTTTTAAAGCATATATTAAGCAGGGAAAAACACCGATTACCCAAAGAGCTTGGCTTTTCATGCCGTGATCTCCTGTTTTCTGCTTAGAACACCTTGCACAGAATATATCTAAATCACATCTGGAAACTTGCCAATACTTGAGAGAAGAGCTCCAGCAGATAACGTGGCAGACCTTTCTGCAGGAGGAGATTGAGAACTATCAGAACAAGGTATACTCTGGAGAATTTACCAAGGGTGGAGGGAAAGTGGGAGGGGTTTTCCTGCAGGGGGTTTGCTCAAGACTACCAAAGGCCAAAGAATGAATGCCTTACATCAGATATCAGATTTCTGTGTAAAACTCTTGCTTCCAGAGCTGATTATGTACTTGAGGCATTGTCTTCTTACTGAGATGCCAGCATGCAAAATTTCAGCAGTAGCAAACAAATTCTATTTCAGCAGTAGCAAACAAATTCAGCAGTAGCAAACAAACTGTACACACATCTCCTATCATTTGTCAACAGGGCACTAAATCAAGCAGTTTCCAGAAATCTAAATGAATTGGGATTTGTCCCACTATCATAATGGAATGTTGATTCAAGATAAGGAAGTTCATGTAAAATACGTAATCTTAGCCTCATGTTCCAAGAGGCTCAGAAGAAGGAGTTTAGAGAGTATGTGCACAGAAAGGTTTGGAATCCAAGGTTGTCACTCCAGTCTGAACCTAACAGTGTGAGGCTGACAAGTGTTGCTACTTGACTTTTTTTCTATAAAACAATGTGATCAACAAGCCACCAAAATGGGAGGGCAGGGCTAGAGAAGGGGAACTTTTAATTATTTATTCTCCCTTTGGGTAAAGAAAATGTGGTGTTTTCCCCTGATATAGAAATTCAGACTTAGGAAGGACCCTAGAGAGTATTTAGGCTAATGCTGCCCTTCATTTTACATAGGAGGACACTAATTTCCATTGGCATGTGGTTGGAGAGTGCAAACACCAGGACTAGACCATGACTCCAGCTCCTAATTCAGTGTTTCTTCCACCCCATCCTGTTGGTGGAAACAGTCTTACACTGAGGTTGGGGGAACAACCAAACACCACCGCTGATTCAGGTTACCCTGTCACTGAACTGGAGAGTGGGTATATAAAAAGAATTAAACAGGACAGGTTGGGAATAGCAACACACCCTTTGTTTGTCTTTGCTATAGCGGGTAATACCAGCAGCCAAAGGGAAGTACAGAGGGAAGCAGGAAAGCAGTAAGAAGCAGCACAGTGTCTGGAATGGGATTCAGAGTCAGAGATGCTAGGAGTTGAATCCCAGCTCCGACACCTGTTCACTGTGAAATCTCCCTGAGCATCTGTGCCCATTTATGGAAAATGGGGAGATGCTCTTATGAAAATGAAATAAGACAAGGGTGTCATAAAGCACCTAGCTCATAAGAGGTACACAATACATGTGATCGACTCCCCCTATAGTGCCCTTCCCCCAGTAAAATGGTGTTAAATTCCCCAAGGCAAAATAATTGCTTAAAAGAAGACCCTGCTTTGCTATTCTCCGCAGCTCAGGGTGAAAGCAGTGACCTGTATTTTCATCTTCTGCTACATAGATGCTCATAATATCTTCCCTGGTCCCTTTGCCACTAAGGAGGTAAGAGAGGAATTGAAGATGAGAAGGGACTTGGAAGCAATCATTGTATCAAATAACTGGCCAACTGTTTACTTTTTAAACCTCTAGCCTGTTTGAATCCATTTCCAAAGAAGGATTTTACAAAAGAGAAATAGTTAAACCCATTGAGCCAAGGATGTGGGTAACCATGTATGCTAACCTGTCTCCCTCTTTAACAGCAGCGGGAGGTGATGTGGCAGTTGTGTGCCATCAAAATCACAGAAGCTATACAGTACGTGGTGGAGTTTGCCAAACGCATCGATGGATTTATGGAACTGTGTCAAAACGATCAAATTGTGCTTCTCAAAGCAGGTATGTGCTTTGCAAGTGAATTTTGAGATCTCTTCCTAACCTGCTTTCACCTGCCTATTAAAGAAATGCTTGGTAAGGAAGGTGTCGGGAACAGTTTTTCTCCGATGATAATAGCTTAGGTTTCTCTTAGCAGAGACTGAGTTCTTCTTAAAGGTTTTGGAGCTATTTGCCCGGAACCTTCCCTCCATAGTCTTCTCCTCTGAGTGAAAAGATTAATTTGAAGGACACCTGCATTCCCTAATTTTACCATTGCCTGTTTTTTGTTTTACACTTCAGGTCCTCAGAGCTTCCAATAAGTTGTTAGGAAAAAGACAGGAACCTCAGAGAGAGCCCTGGGTTTTTTTTGTTTGTTTTTTGGTTTGTTGTGGGGTTTTTTTGCTTGTTTATTTTTTAAGTTTTTAATTGATTTTAGAGAAGGGGAAGAGAGAGAAAGAGGGAGGGAGAGAGAGAGAGAGAGAAGAGAGAGAGAGAGAGAGAGAGAGAGAGAGAGAGAGAGGTTTTGTTGTTCCACTTATTTATGCATTTATTGGTTGGTTCTTGTATGTGCCCTGATGGGGATCGAACCCGCAACCTTGGCAGATGGGAACAATGCTCTAACCAACTGAATGACCCGGCCAGGGCTTTTTATTTGTTTTAATAAATATGAATAAATGTTTGATTATCAACTCTGAAACTTCTTACTGCAAAACAGAAGAGTGGCAAAGAAGTAATTTGTAAATCACTCCTCTCTTCAGTGAAGCAGACCTTGGCTCAGCACAGGTGTTTAATTACACTAGTGAACTTTGCCCTTTTAGACAGAGAGGCAATGTGACTGAGCACCCACTGGCTACACAACCCCCAGGGCGCTCACTCAGAAACGGGTCTCTACATCAGTGCCTTTGAAATCAACTCGCCAAGGTGGAATAACCCACGCCCTCCTGCCTTTGCGTAGGTTCTCTAGAGGTGGTGTTCATCAGAATGTGCCGTGCCTTTGACTCTCAGAACAACACCGTGTACTTTGATGGGAAATATGCTAGCCCTGATGTCTTCAAATCCTTAGGTAAGGAAGTTTCTGGCTGTTTGTCTTTAAATCAGAGTTATAGGAACAGGTAGGAGCTGGGTGAAACCTCTTTTTGAACAATATGAAAACTGGTTATTTGGAAAAAATAATTAAAGAATTTTATACCTATTTTACTTTATAGCTAGACACTATAGAAAATTCACATGCCTCAGATGCTCTTTGCCTGTATTACCTGTGAAGATCTAATATTTCATTTTATCTAGTTGGCAACTGAAGACATTTATATTACATATCCATTCAGTGTCCTTCCAAATTTTAAGATCCAGATAAGCAGGGGGCATATTATTTAGATAAATTAGAGGATGTGATCTGATACATAAAATCAAGCAAAGAGCTCAAAGTGTGCCCTCAGGTAATTATTAATGAGAATTAAATGTAGATCTCAGAGAAATAAAGTATTACTAAGTGAAACTGACATACACCATATAAATAATTTATATTGGATTTTTATAATTTAAATAAAGTGGTTTATAGTTATTAAGATTGGGACAGTATCCAAGATAGCTTATGTGAATTTTAAAACACCAAAATGACAGAAGGGGTGGATAGCCTGTTTCCATTTAAAATACAGGGTGGGAAAAGTAGGTTTACAGTTGTGAGTACGTGGAACAGTTTATTCTTATAATATTATTAATTATTGTATTATTTTCCATACAGTAATGTGTGTGTGTAAATATAATATGCAAATCTGACAAAATAGACACCAAACTTAACCAGTCTTTGGGGAATGGATCATTTTTTTATAGGACTTTTACATTCTATATTTTCAATTCTGTACCAGTTACAATGATTTCACCACTATAATATGTCATTTGTTAGAATTTAGAGGAAATAGAGACAAACATCAAAATGAGAGGTTTTCACATTTCAGTAAGATGGTAGCTGTTAAACTCTGTTGGTTAAGAGTGTGAGCTCTGAAGTCAAGCACCCTGACTTAGAATCTCAGGATGTTACTTCCTATCTGTATAACCTTAGGTACATCACTTTCCTCTCCAGCTTTGTTTTTTCACCTCTAAAATGGGGATAATAAAAATAATACGTCCTTAATAGAGCTGTTGTGAAATAGTAGGAAACCCAAAGAAATTTCTTAGAGCAGTACCTAACATAGGAATCACTCAGCACAAGAAGTTTACTCTCATTATTTTGAATGATGATATGATGATGATGATGATGATGATGATGATGATGATAGGGATGGTGGTAGTGATGCTGATGTTGGCTAAATAGATGTTTCCTCTAAGATTTCAAACTCTTAAACTGTAGAAATGTTATCACTATCCCTCTTCACCTTCTTCCATATTTTTGTCCTAGGATAATTATCAAAACCCTAAACTCTCTTTATTTTAATGTCGGCAGGTTGTGAAGACTTTATTAGCTTTGTATTTGAATTTGGAAAGAGTTTATGTTCTATGCACCTGACGGAAGATGAAATTGCATTATTTTCTGCATTTGTACTGATGTCAGCAGGTAACAGAACCAAATAAAAATAAAGTGGTTTAAAAATTGTCCAGGTAGAGACTTTTTACAAGGTCCATAACTTTTAGAATATTCGGGAGGCTGCCCAGAGAGGCTACCTCACTTATTAAGCCTATTTTTAATTTTTTCAAATAACAACCTCCCCCCACACACACATACATCTGCCTTTTAAGAAGACTCATGCCATTCTGATAAACTCCTAATAAATGAGAATTGAGTAAAACCCAGTCCACAATTAACCTCCTGACACCAAGAGAAATGGTATGGTGGAGTCAGGTTGTCCTTCTTGGTACCAGTCTCCAAGATAACATCCAACTTTTTCCTGAAATCCACTTGGATGTCCTCTACAAGTTTATGTGCATTTAATCCATGTTTTCACCAGCACTGCCTCTTGGAGATCATCAGTGTACTGTCTTCTACTTGGAATTCTTACACATAAAGAATTCATCCTAAATTACCAACTTTTAAGTCATCTGGAATTCTATTGGCAGTTTTAGTTGTCTTACATTATAAGGTTATCTCCATAATTTCTAGAAAGGCTATCAGAATTGCTATGAATATTTCATTCAGAAATGTTATTCTTAGAAAGGCTTGAAGGGCCATAGTGATTTCATTGTACCTGTATGTACACGACCTTAGATTTGAATTGCTATCCTTTTTGGAAGGGGAGCACCCTCCCTTCCTTTAAGTACCAGTAAGAATGGAAATGTTGAATACCCTTTATACCTGTCATAGATCAGTTTTCCGCTCCCTTAGGAATATATTTTGAAAGAATAGTGAAACTGGCCTGCTAGTCTCTAACTCTGCTTTGTGGTATGATACTCTGGGTCTAAGAGTCAGGAGGAATTGGGTATCTGGCACCATGTTGGAGGAACACTAAGGGCTATCATTTCTCATGTTTAGATCGCTCATGGCTGCAGGAAAAGGTAAAAATTGAAAAACTGCAACAGAAAATTCAGCTAGCTCTTCAACACGTCCTACAGAAGAATCACCGAGAAGACGGAATACTAACAAAGGTGAGAACGAACGGTTTCCAGTTGGCATAGCTTGAATTACCCCTTGCCACATACCAAGCGCCCTTGTAGGTCATCTGACCAGCCCCCAAAAGTATCAGTAAGCAACAGGCCACTGAAAGGAATAAATATCTCCATTTCAAAAAAGTTCTGTTGGGCCAAACTTCTGGTTAAATTCTATTTATCATCATTGCTTATAAAGTGCCCTACAGTAATAGGGAAATAATGTAGTAGAATTTTTTAACAATTAATACATTCTGGAAATCCTCTTCCTAGTCCATCAAAGTTGAACACAAAGCAGAGTTAATGTTCTGCATTGATAGAAATTAGAGAATTTTTGAATGTTGGAAGAGAAAATTATGAAGCACTAAAACAATTAACCAGGATAACCTTATATTCTGATATTAGTTCAATTTCCATTAAATTCATCAGTCATCAACAATAAATGACTTTTTTATTTTCTTCATCAATTTACCATTACTACCTTGTATTCAAAGCATAAGGTTTTGTTTTTGCTAATTATTATATTTTGCAATAAAAGCATAATTAGGATGTCAAATTAAAATCTGCTAACATTTTTCAGTGCTAGAGCCAGGAGTATGTATTTGGTCTTAGAAAAATCAGCCCCTTCTTAGATTTTTTTATGTGTTTTATTGTTCCAGAGGATGATTTGAAAGTGTTTCTTTTTCCTGTTTATTTTTTTTTCTATGTTCTCCTGATAACTAGGTTAGGTCAGGGAGCAGAAATTGGGGGTTAATTGTTGCTTTGTTTTTGATACTCTTTCTCGAGAAGAAACTCATTGTCATTAGAGTTTGATGTATGCCTGGTATTCTATGATATAGCTATATCCTCATTTATTTTTACCAATCCTCTATTACTAGACATTTAAGTTGCTTTAAGTGTGTTTCGATATTATAAACAGTGTTGTAAAGATAGTCCAGATTCCCTGAATTTTGATTCTCATGTCTGTTCTCCCCTGACAACATGTCCTTTCTTCCACCTTACAGTTAATATGCAAGGTGTCTACATTAAGAGCCTTATGTGGACGACATACAGAAAAGCTAATGGCATTTAAAGCAATATATCCAGACATTGTGCGACTTCATTTTCCTCCATTATACAAGGAGTTGTTCACTTCAGAATTTGAGCCAGCAATGCAAATTGATGGGTAAATGTATCACCTAAGCGCTTCTAGAATGTCTGAAGTACAAACATGAAAAACAAACAAAAAATATTAACCGAGACACTTTATATGGCCCTGCACAGACCTGGAGCGCCAACACACTGCACATCTTTTGGTGATCGGGGTCAGGCAAAGGAGGGGAAACAATGAAAACAAATAAAAGTTGAACTTGTTTTTCTCATGCATATGATTTCCATTATGCCTACAGATATGGACCCTTTTTCTGTCTCGACTTCTTGATCATTGACCTCTGTTTACAACAGAAGGAGGGTACTAAAGTTGGAAGATTTCCTTTTCTTGTAGCTCACTGCCCACAGACTTTCTGCAGAGTCACCAATCTGTTAGTAACAAGAGAGTCCAGCAATAATCGGTGACCGGTGTGCATAGCGGAGGTTGCAGCATTACTTTGCACAACTTGCTCTTTGTCTCATGAAGGAAGTTTTTATTTTTTTTTTCACCGATTATTGCCAGTCAGCAGGATGGCACGTAAAGGGTCCATAGCACTAGCAACAATAGCATTATAATATATTACAGGGTAAATGGGCATGAAGACTATATATAGCTAAAAGAGATATTGTTTATATATTGTTTTAATTAATATAAAATGTAGTTACTGGTGTAGCTTTTCCTGTTGAATTGATAAGGCACTTTCATTTTGCACCTTTTTCTTTAAATTAAATGCTAGCGTGTTCACTGTCGTGTCGCATGTGCACCAGAAACACAAGTTTTACTGAGAAGGCTTGGAAGGTACGTCGGGAGGTATTTATGCTGCTGTTTACAAAATTACTTTCAAAAGACTGGCTGGTCATATCTAGAAATCACGATGTTGGATTATTATTTTTTTACATGTGAATTTGGAATTAGAAACTGAACTCTCCCTAAATTACACCTTGCATTTGGGTAAGTTTAAGGATAGATGTGTTTATGCTTCATACAAAGTTGAATGGTTGATTGGTGCTGTGGACTTATACCATCATGAATATTATTTTTTAAAAAGCTTTTTTAAATGCCACCTAAAGGAGGCAGAGGAGGGGAGGCTCGTTTTATACAATTCAGTAGTTATATAGACTCAGCCTCAACTTGGAATTCGTATGCTTTGAGAACAAATCAGTAACCAGAATAGTTTATTGGAATCTAGCTTTGATTATAAGAAGGACCCAAAGATTTATATGTGGAGCAAACGCACACTCCTCACATGAGGACATAAAGCATTTACTCTGTGAAAGTTTATGTTCTTGGTGTAATCTAGGAACTGTAAGGGTTGATCTCAGAGTGAACTATTTCTAGACTAGCTGCCTCTAGATGCTATAATTCTAGAACGTTGCTCTCCATATTTCATAGACAATGAATGAGAGGGTGAGGGAGGCATACCATGTTGAATTAGTTTCTGTTATTTAAATATTAAATATTTTAAGCCTTTAAAGTGAAGTCAGTGCTAACTGCAAACATGTACTTTTGTATTTATCGTCGCTAGAAAACTGTGGACTATAATTTATTTCATTAAATATTTAGAAGATTGTTTGGTTTGGTGTTCAGGTGAGATAGAGTGAGGGTTGTGTGTTTTTTTTAATTTCATGAATTTTCAAAAATAATTCCCAGTGGGGGAAGGGAGAAGGAACTGTCTGACACACAAGTGAGCATATTTTAAAAATAAGTGACCTTTGGGATGGTAGGCATTGAGATGCTGATTTCAGTCCCACTCGGGGTAGGAGTCAAACTTCTGGTCTGACATCAAAGGCCACGTTTGTTCAGTAAAGGGGACATCCTCCCGTCGTGCAAAGGCGGGAGTTTCCGAGAAGCCCTTTCTAGTGGAGAAAGTGTCTCCTGGACCACCAGGGCCCTCCTGACTCTCCCGTGGGGACTGTGGCTCCTGGTGTCAGGCTGGATCCCAGCGCAGGCTTCCCAGAGCCCTCCACTCTGCTCAGACCTCCGCTGACTTCCCGACTTGCTTCCTGAGGGACTTGGAAAAGGAGAAGGAATTATTCACACAGAAGTGTGTATGAAGCCTAAATGACATCTAACTTTTTCCCCCAAAAAAATATAGTAAGGGTTTAACCATAAATAGAAGACAAGAGTATTATTTACTTAAATTTCTTACAAGCATATAAAACTTTATGAGTGTTTATATAGAGAGGTTAACTATAAGCATATAGTATTTATATTTGGGCAGGAGGGGTTAAAGCAAATTTTTAATTTAAATAAGCATAGTTCCTTTAAAGAGCAATAGTATTTATACTCTGAAAAAAGTACCAAGCTTAGTTCAGTTATTTATTTGTCCGTGTTTCTCCTATTGTTTCTCCTTTGGGGAGAAATGGTGTATTTTTATTTTGGTTTGGTTTCGTTTCCTTTGTTTTCTGTCGTTCTGATTCACTAAATTTGGGGATGGTTTTATTAAAATATATTAACTTCTTTTTAACCAAAGCTTTCTGAATATGACCAGCCTCAGGTGCTAGCGCATTAAAGAGCAACTAAACCTAATTCCAGTGTCCATTTATGAAATGAAAAGAGTTCATTGAACTTCTCTAGGGGTGAGAGAGAACATAATGTTGAACTTAAAAGAAATTCTTTTTTCCAGAAAGGATTTTGCATGTACATAATGCAAAAAAAAAAAGAAAGATGCTCTAATCACAGTAATAGTCACACCATGGTGACAGTGCTCTCAGAGTAAACCGAGATACATTGACATGATGCTGCTACTAGATCTTTGAGAAAGAAAAGCAAGTGTGGACTTTAAGAGCAAATTACCTCTATAGGGTAGGAACAAGATAGCAGAGGCATGCTCGGTGGCAGGAGGGAACAACTGACTATTATTTGGATCAAAGTTGGGATCTGAAGTTAAACAATAAATTCAGCTGACAAAATATGACGTATAGAAAAGGATGTGAAAAACTTTGCATTTGCATTCTCTTCCTTATTATAGAAACACCTGTGTGATGATACAAAATATTTGGTGATACAGAAAATTATTTGTAATAGTTCTTATAAAGCTCCCTAAACTTAAATAGTCCTTTGATTATTGGAATCACGTCATTGTCATCCCAGCTGCTATAAGGCCTTTTGTACAATGTTTTACATCAGCTAAATGAGGCTTTTGTACAAAGTCCCAATATCATCAGTTACAATGGTGTCCAAATGGTTGCATTCCATTGTGAAGAAACTGGCCTTGGTCACAATGAAATCAAAAGTGCAGATGAAAGTGCTTTTTTGGGACAGTTTGCAAATTGTGTTAAAGCTATGGATTTTTTTTAAGTGTTCAGCATCCTAATTTACGTTAAAGCTATGGATTTTTTTTTAAGTCTTCAGCATCCTAATTCACCCTTCCTAACTTAAGGAAAACATGACTTAAGACACTGCTTCTAAGTTTGGTTGTTCTTTATAGTGTGGATACCCAGATGTCTGTGAGCGTATAGGGGTGGGCTGAGGGTCAAGTGAGGAGGGAGTGAGTGTGTGTGTGTGTGTGTGTGTGTGTGTGTGGTTTTTGTGTATGACCTGCGTGTGTCAGACCGCTTCTAGGCTACTACGTGTCAATGGAAAAGAAAATGTATTCAAAATACTTAAATCAAAAAACTAGAAGATGGGAATAAAAAGATTTATTCTATACAAAGCCTTGTCTGGACCACTTTAGAGAGACTTCTATTTTTTTAACCCTTCTATAAATATTTGATGGCACTTGAAATATTCCTGCAATAAAATGTGATTTGTGTAAAGAAAAAAAAAAGATTTTGTAATGTGAAACAAAGAAAGAAAGTAATGTAATTTTCTAAAAAAAATACAAACAAACAAACTTTGTATTATTTTCTTGATGGAATTTGTCTATCTGTCTTTGGAAAACTTTTTATTTCATTGAATGTGCCATAGTAGAAATACGTGTTTTTAGTTTTAGACTAAGGAATAGCTGTTTGTGTTCCGACATTCCAAAATGCAAAACAACCTAGTAGAATCTTTAATGAAAAGGTTTAAGTAGGATGTAAGCTTCTCTCATCGTTGCTTTTTTGCACATGTTCTTCATTCCTCTCTAGTGCAATATGTACATAGAGCACTCGCGGGTGTACCTTGATCCCTCAGGGAAAAATACATATTTGTACAGTTGTTATTATTGTTGTTTCTTTTTGTTTTTGGCTAAGGAATGTCGACTGAATCACTTGTTATTGTTGAGGGGCAGCCAGATAATAATCCTAAAGCCACTGTTTCAAACATTGATTGTTTAAATCATGTGTCCTTCCAGTGCTATTAAGATACTAATAATAAAAAGTTATTTTCTGACAGTTCTTTGTGCTGATTGGTGAAAAAAAGGGTAAATAAGCACCTTATGATTGACTTACTGTGAATGACAATCCATCTTGATATCAACAATAGAAAGCCCTATCATTTTGGAGTTGGGTTAAGAGTCAGAAACAATGTGCTCAGGGATCTTCTAAAACTCTTAAAACAGGGTGGCCAGTACTACTGGGACAAATTGTGTTTTTTATTATTAATAATAATGATAATGCTATCCCTCCAAGGCACAGTGAACTGTGTAGAACCAACTGCATGTGTGTAAATGTCACTATCATCTCATTTTGTTGAGTTCAAAACGTGTGTTCTTCAGTCTTGTGTACTTAAAAACACTGAATAACTTCCAGAACTGTGGAAAGTTATGCCAGTATGTTCAAAAGATAAATGAACAGGTCATCCACCAACAGAGAGCATCATTCAAAGTACAATCTTGCATACTCCATTTACCATTTCTCAAATAGTTAAAATATTTATGATAAAAATATTTATAGCCTTCAACAATATATTAAAAACTACTCCAAATTCCACATAATATGGATACAAGTGTTTAAACCAAATGAGATAAGGGCCCTGCCTATCAGTGGAGTGAGAGAGGTAAAAGGTAAAATATGTTTTTTCTAATAGCAGCAAACAACTACTAATTTCACTGGGTTCATCTCTAGAAGCAAACCAAAAAACTCCCTTTATGTAACACGTCTCCTACTTTCACATTTGTAGTTTTTTTTCTTTTTTTAAAAAATATATATTTTATTGGGTTTTTACAGAGAGGAAGGGAGAGGGATAAAGAGTTAGAAACATCGATGAGAGAGAAACATCGATCAGCTGCCTCCTGCACACTTCCCACTGGGGATGTGCCCGCAACCCAGGTACATGCCCTTGACCGGAATCGAACCTGGGACCCTTGAGTCCATAGGCCGACGCTCTACCCACTGAGCCACACCAGTTAGGGCCACATTTGTAGTTTTTAATCTGTCGAAGTAATACAAGAGATAATATTTAAAGATAAAACCCACCTGGTAACAATAGCATGAGCCAGCTTTTAGGGTCACGTTTTACATTTTTGAAATACAGTTTTGTTCTCATATTTCAATATATTGCTTTCCATAAAGGCAGTGAACCTCAGTGTAATTGTTGCCTTTGATTTTTCCATTTCACACTTGGAATACACATTCAGATGTTTTTTTAAGACCACACAAGAGTATAATTTGGGAAAACTTTTCATGGTTTTTTGCACATGTTCTTTATGTCATTTAGATGAAAAGGAAGCTTTTGCCTTATTTTTGAAAATAAATACCATGAAAATGGGAAGAAATCTCTCTCTCATATATGTATACATATATTCATACACATATATGTATACATATATACATATACACACACATTATTGACAATTTTACATATTATACCATTTGATTGCCACTTCTTATAAAGGGATGACACAGCAGAACCCCATAAAAACAACTTTATACAATAGATGAGATTATGTGCCCAGAAAGGCAACTGAAACATTAAATCTTGATCTATTGCTAGTAGTCCACCATACTATCCCTAAACACTAGTATTAGCGAAGAGTTCCACCAGCTTTCATTAAAGAGACCTTCCTATATGATTGTTTATCCTGAAGAGATGAGGAGGCTAGCAAGCAATGGCTTTACAAAGCAATGGGTTTCACTTCTGGATCTGTTTGCTTGTTTGCTAGTGCAAATGAGATCCGTTTTGTCAGGCTCTCAGAACAGTTTTAAAAATAACCTAAAAGCCTGGTTTCATACCAAGGAAATATCGTCGAAAGGGGTGGGGGAAGGACTTCATGTTTAAACAAACCCTCAGAACTTCAAGCAATAAATACAGTCATTTATTTATTTATAAATGAGTGACAGCATAGTGAATCCTAAGAGAAATGTTTTTTCAGCAGTGAAACATAAAATGGAGTCTTGTGTTAAGAAAGTGCATATGAATATTTTAAATGGATGCCTAGAGAAATCCGTGTGTGCTGTTTACATTTAGTATGTTTACCACACTAGCAGTATCACACTTCTTTTCTTATTTTTCTCCTAAGAACTAATGAAAGATAGCTCGCTCTCAGCTTTGACATGCTGCACATGCCATTTTGTTCTCTAAGAGCAACTAAAATTTCTCCAGTGTTCATGTGTGATTCCTTTCTCATTCATTATCACTTCAATGTGGATGAATACTATTTCTAGGAACTTGGTCATCGGTGAACAGATTACATATGTAAATGCAGATCATTCTTGAGCATATAGTGAATATGATTTCACACACACATGAAAAAATTCATATGTACTGTACACACTTTCCTGAATCAAAAATTCTCTTCTATCCACAATGGTTTGAAATCTCACATAAAACAGTGGTAAGTTTTTATACATTAGGACATTAGCTGGCTGCTTCTTTAAATGTCCCTGTATTGTCTGCCTGCTCCTTTTGTGGAGATGTGTTTTTGTATTGGATGTTTGGGCCAATGGGAGGCTTCAAGCTACAACATATTTTCCCAGTTTAAATATATTTAACATATGACAAACCCCAGACAAGGCTTTTAATATGTATAAAGAACTGCAGTGTTAGGTGGTTTATTTGCAAACCGTTTTCAATGTTGTCCATTTTTATGGCACCTTTAACAATATTCTTGTTTCCAAAGTACAAAAACTAGGTTAAATATCTAGCCATAACTGAATGTCAAGCAATAAAACAAATGACCTTTGTGCATAGACTTAAAAAAATACAAATGTTAGACATCTGCATGTAAATGCAATCTCTTGTTTACTGCTTTCCTCAACTCGAGCAATTGATTCCTTATTTACTGTTAACTTAAGAACTTGTAATGGCCTGTAAACATTTTCTCTCTTACTCTTCTTTCAAATTTACCTTCATCCCTGCTTTTGAGTCATAATATTTAATGTTGTTCTGCACATCTCTATACAGTTAACTTTTTGGCTTTCATTCTGTATAGATAAGAAAATGTTATATTATAAACAGCCTACTCAGTGCAAATATTTATCTGTTTATCAAATCCACAATATGCTGTATAATACTGGTTTTACTATATAATCTATTTTAGACATAGCTGTTTAGAACTAGAGTGTGCTATTTTTGTGTTTTTCTGATGTGTGGTGCTAGATAAGTTACTTTTGTGAACAAAAAAAACACACACCCTTTTATTCCTAGACAATACCACCTTTGGGTCTTGTTAATTTCACTGAGTATAACTATATATTTGTATATATATACATATATATATATATATATCTACCTATGCCCAACTGGCAGCTGTATCAGAGTGCTGGATTTGGGACATGCTTTTCTCTTTAAATACGTACTATCATTATATAAATTATTCTAGAGTGTATTTAATTAGGATAAAATTACTTCCTTAGTATGGATATTTGACATCAATAGGGTGAATTTGTTTATAAATATGGATATATGAAAACTTATTAGCATTGACTTTATGTTTGCTACTTGGCTTTATACAATATCTCCTAAGCAGAAAAATAATTTGCCAGGCCTTCAAGATCCTAAAGAAACACTCTAGTTTAATGGAGTAATCCTTTTTTTTCTTCTTACTAAGGAATTATATTATTGACACCTGACAGGGTTGTGTACTTAGCTCCTATTATAGATAATAGGTATTTATATAAAATATCCTTGGTGGCTTGATGGCGGAATAAACCTTTCCCCTCCTACCTGAACCATGAGAAGTCTGAAGACATCCACTGTCAAGGCAGAACATGGCCTAATAGAGCAAATTCTATTTTAATTCTGACCTCGACCAGTTCTATGAACTGAGTAAAGGACCTTCATGTTAAAAGTCATTTAATAATGAGTTTAAACTCTTTCCCCTATTCTCCCAAGACCTATTGGCATTGTTAAAAATCAAAGTATATCAAATATCTAACTAAGGATGTAGTTAACCTTATTAAATATTGATTAGAATTGTTCTGTAATATTACTGAATTTGTAAGATCTTTAGCAAAGATTTTTGAGCAATTTATAAATATAGAGCAAATGTTTCTGTTTACTGCACTTTTTGTAATTGAAGGTGATAAATTCTCAAGCCATGGTTATTGGCTTCCATGCACTGCATATTTACCCACAATTTAGACATTTTCCATTTTTATGGAAGAGTTGCTGTTAATTACAAATGCAATCATGTGGTTAATGAAAGCTAATGCTAATAGTTAACCTTTTAAAGTGAATTGGCTACAGTTTAAGGAGAAATCTCTTTTACTACAAGTCATGTCATTCCTTACTACTTCACATAGAAAGAGATGGAAACTTTTTTTTAAAGCACCATCCAATAGCCTAAGCTTCCTGGAGAGAGAGATTGTATTTCTTTGTGTCTGCACAATGGCCAGCACATGCCAGCATTTGATAATTATTAAATAACAATGAGTGTGCCCCAATCCAAATTCTTTTTCTGGGTTGTTAAAGTAAATTTATAAAGTATGACAAGCCTATGGTTAACACTTTCTTCTACAACCAAGTATTAGACCCACATTTAAAAAGACCACATGAAATGCTGATTCTAATTGTGTGTAGGTCTTGAGGATTAAGCACACAAATTTCACAAAACTCGTGAGTAACAAACTCAGCCTTCTGTAAATATACATGCAAGTTTGGAAACAGTAATACTGTACCTATAAATATATCTGTCTGTTTTGTGTACAGTATGTAAAAATTCCTTTTCTGCCACACTAAAAATGCAAGCCATTTATGGGTATCCTAAAAATAGTATTGTACTAAAACTTTGCTAATGATCTTTATTAGAAGATCATCCAACTTTTCACATACATTGGGTTTTCTTTTCAATTCACTCTTACAGTAGTCTGCTTATTTCCAGCTGTTTGTTATTTTATTGTGTCCTGAATTTAAAAAGATATTTTGATTCATTTTGTAAATACAAGCTGTAAAAAAAGAGAGATTTAATGTTGTCTTTTAAATACTCCAATTTTCATTCTAATATGAATGTTGTTATATTGTACTTAGAAACTGTA